CTGCCACACCTGCAGAGCCTGCAGACCCGTACAACCAGCCAGATGCAGCAGCCCCACCTACTGCTCGAACAGCAGCGATTCCCCCTTTTCCCCTCCCACCCAATGAGCCATCCACTTCGGGAGGATCTCCATTCGATATGCCCACACTTCCCCCCACTTCGTCCAGCCCGCTTGCGACGTCAACAGAACCATCAACTACATCCACACAGCCTTCTGCAGTTACAACGGGCTCACATTCCAGCACGCCCACGTTGACACCTACTACATCTACACAGTCTTCTGCGGCTGCAGCAGGGTCACCTTCCAGTATGCCCACATTGACAACAACTTCATCTACTCTGTCTTCTGTGGCTATAGCAGATTCGACTTTCAGTCCCCCCACCCTGTCACCAGCTACATCCTCTCAGTCTACTACACCGGAGCCACGTTCAAGTACTTCCACCTCTTCACCAAGTACCTCGAAGTCGACTACGCCCACGCCACCAGCTTCGCCATCCACCTCGTCGCTCGAAGTCACCGCAGCCGGCTCCCCGGCTTTGCCCGGCTTCCCCGGTGCTGCTGTGGGCGCCATCGCTGGGGCCGGAGCGGCGGCCCTCGGAACGACGGAAGCTCCAGAGATCGAGGCGAACGTATCGAATGAGAGTTCCACCACACTGCTGCTGGAGTCTCAGGAGCAGGAGGCAATGGCGGGGAAAACCCAGGAGCAGAAGTTGGTGACTGAGTTGGAGCTGGAGGATGAGCAGGAAGAGGAACACTTCACCAGGGTGGATGTGGGATGTAGCTGGACCCTGATTGGGTCCCTCTTCTTCACCATGGTCATGCTTCTGAGATGGCGATCTAGAAGTGTGTGTTTTGCTTTGTGTTGTTTTTGCTCTGAAGGGTTCACCAATTTTCATGGAATCATGGATTAGGGCTTTACTGCCTAAAGCACAAGCCATTTACGCCTAGTATAATGATCACATCACATTTTTGTGGACTCTCGGACCTGTTGCCGCTGTCATCGCTCTTGCTGAGCTTTTGAGGTTCTACTTCGTGAATTACCCGGACGATGACATCAAGAGATACACCTGGTCGACAATCAATACAACCTTGTCACCTGCCTTGATGCAAAGAGATCACCTGATTGAATCTCATTTGGAGGTTTGACAGTCTGTGATCCTTTTGCAATAACACGTCAAAAATCCCCAATAATTCCAAACGCGCTGTCAAGGTTCTCGGTGGACCGCCATCAGAGACGTCCAGAGACAATTCCCATTTCCTGGATTCTGGATCAACCGTTAAGCGTTAACCCATCAACCTCTTCCTGAGATTCTGACATCCTTATCGGGAACAACATCCAAGACACAGCAGCCTAAGTCCGGAAACTTTAGGTCAATCTTTACGGCCGTTTTGGCTTTCAATGGCCTGGATCAGCTGATGGTCAACGCCACTTGGACTGAGCGAAGCAAGGGAAGCCGCCTTCGCTGGTACCTAGAAGTTTGTTTCCTGCGAGTCGGGTTTAAACAAATCGGGGTGGGCTCAGGTTGTTTCATAGGTCTCGGAGGGGTGCAAAGAACATTTCTCAGGATTGATGTTGCCATGCAGCTGATGTTCATGTTCATCTGGGGCCATGTGCTAAGCTGCAAATCTCCGCATTTCGCCCCAGGTTGTGGTGGCTCCAGTCCTGGGCGCATTTCCAGTGGGTTCTCAGGAGCTTGCTCGAGTCCTTGTTGGCTGCTTGGGCGAACAGGGTCACAGGCGCACGTGCACGTGGTGGTGAGAGCTGGTCGTTTGGTCTGATCTTTGCATTCGCTTGCAGGATCTCGCAGGCTTGGACAGAACACCCCAGACGACTAGAACCTAAGACTGAGAACGGAGTCTTGTAGAAGGACGAAGTCTATGTTCAGGTTCTTTGCTATTTTGCGAAGGGCGTGCCTACTTGCTCTGGCATCCTTCAAGTGAATCTTAGGCTTCGTAGCCTTCCTCGCTTGGTATGGCATCGCGCTTACAGCCATCGCTTTGGCGGCTGGACTTATGAAGAGGGATGATGCGGAGCTGAAGAGTGCCGGGCCCAGGTTGTGGGTTGTGCATAGCGCTTTGACACATGCAGACAATTGATTTACATGCCATTGCCCCTTAAATCTTGGCCACTCACTTACCATGGAAGATGAAGGAAGATGACAGCAGAAAAAAAACAACAACAAGCAAGTTGCCTTTCCCCTCGCAGTGCTCATCATGTTCTGTCGAAAAATGCATAAAACAATTCCATATACAGTGAGTTCTTGACATCGTTGACCAGCCGCGCAATCATCGCTTCAAGGCCGAAGGACCTGGGTCATCACTGATTTCATGCGCGGAGACCATGGCACCGCGGTGAACGGGCATCAGCTGATCCAGAACGCGCGTTCCAAGGGCATCGCCGATGTGAGGGGCGTGGAGGCGCGAGGCACAGCGAAGTCCTCTACTTGGCACAGTGAAGTCCTCATGCTGGCACGTTCTAAACGCAAAGTTCGCCCCTTTTGTGTTTCGACGGTTCCTCTCCTAGCTGGGCCTGGGGTTGTTCAAAGACAGGCTATCCAAGAACAAGAAGACTTATAGTGGGTTCTTTTTTTTGTGTGCCAAACAATCAGGAGATATCAGGAGATACTGTAGTTGAAGGGATGGCAAATGGCAAGAGTTTGCTTTGAAATTTGGCATCTTTGGCTCAATGTGTTGCTCCTCATGTATGTCACATTTGTCCAGCAATATCTAGATTGAGCCCCAAGAAAAATCTGCGGTCAACCTTCTTTGCTCGTTTTGTCTTGGCTTCAGATCAGATCCGCACAGCTCAGGTGGCCATGAGATTTTCATGCCAAAAGATGCCAAAAGCATGTCCACCCTGGCAAGGCCTCAGGATTTCCCATGGTGATTGAATTTTGACCAGGTCTTTGTGGCGAGCCGTTCTTTGCATCAAGAAAACTATGAAACAAGGACTGCGCACTGGGCGCAGCGCGCTGGCGGTTGCAGTGTGAGGTAGGCCTTCGATCAACACAGCTGCTCACAGTTTTTCGGGTGATTTTAGCTCGTGAGACATGTTCCATTTCAAGTATCGGTGCGTGTGCCTTTCCTGTGCATGGACACAAGCACAGATGTACATCCCTTGCACTGCATCCAACGCGTATAGTCATTTGCTCTGTTCAGCGGCTGTTCTGTAAAAGAGACTAGGCAAACGAGATAATTGTAGCTCACCTCATGGTTGACAATACATGTGTGACCTGACTGAAGGCATTTGAAGGCCCGGGTCATCCTGGGTCCCAATCTCATGGCCACGTTGACCAAGGACCAAGTGCTGGTCAACACTTTTCGCACACATGACTGGATTCGCGATGATCAGTGCCTCCGTCAGCAGCTTCATCCTGCTCAACGCATGCCACGCCATTGAAGTGCATGGAATCTAACAGAGGGCCCTTGTATGAGATTGCAGGAAGCACATTGCTCGTGGGGTTGGAAATGAAATTCGGACTCGTCTTGCTCATTTGCCAAATGTCGTGTTTGCTTGAAGTCTTCACTGATTGAAAGGATCAAACCATGAGCACGCGGCCCATTATCGCAATCCCGGAACGAGACGGAAAAGACCAAGCTCCACATGGGAGCCCAAAACAACTTAGCACTTCCAATTGGCCTGCTAGTGGTGCACACTGTTGAGGACCTATCCCTCCTTCAATGTCCATACCACTCAAACAGCAAGTCTGCTGGGAGACCTTCTCCCGTCCAGGGTTGGTCCCATCTCTTGCGTGCCTCCCTGCCGCCCGGTCTGCTAGGCGCGGGAGGTGACCTGCAGAATTCTCCACCCTTTCTGACGGTGCCGATGAGCTGGCTGGCAGCCCCTCATCGGAATGGTCAGCGAGCCTGGTGGCCAAAGAGCAAAATAGCGAACCCAACGGTAGAAAGTGAACCTAACGGATTGCTGCATAAAAGGGTGCAGTTTGCTGGCCTTTGCAGGGTTTTATACCACGTGGGGGGCCGACCCTGTTGAGGGGATTTAGTTCGAGCATCCCCTAATTAGAGCGTTGTAGTATAGCAATGCATTGCCTGTGGTCCTTACAGTGCATGTGTGGTTGGCTATTTGAATTAAAGTTGTTTTTTCTGTGCTTTTCAGTCGAAGAGTTGATCCTGGCCTCTTGAGGTCCTCCTGTGCATCCTTTTCCTTGTGGGCGTCTTCAGCCCCACGGCTGGCATTGCAGCTAACGCTCCCAGACCCTCCGGTCCTCGAAAGAGCAGCATATCCAGAAAGTCAGACCTGTTTCTGTATTTTCACTCCATGTAATATGTACATTCTGTACCTTGCACATAGTAGGATGTCATGTCACCTTTACTTTGCAGCTCGCGGCCCAAAACAGGAGTTGCAGCTTAACGGCTGTTTCTATAGGTTATCAGCCGTAGTGCTCTAACCACAGCCATGGACGCTCTTGCTATTCCTGGGAACGGTACATCATCGGTAGCAGTCCCAGCCGGTCTCACGACTGAGCCCACGGTGGATCTAGATGACCCCATGGGTTCAGCTCCTGTCACAGCTTACTTTCAGTTTGTGCAGCAAAACATCCAACAAGTGTACAACGGAAATGAAGATGCTATCATTGCTGAGGCAGAGAGAAGGCACAAAGAGATAATGGGACAATGGTTGGAAATGGTAAAAACCAAGTTTCGTCAAGCAATCGATGAAGTAGCGAGCAAGCATCATGAGGAACTCAGTTCGATAAGGCAGCAAGCTCAATCTAGCTACAACCAAGTGCAAGGGGAACTTAGCGCTGCAAAAGCGCGGATCCTAAAGCTAGAGAGTGAAAGGTCCATTGAGGCTGAAGCCAGAAAAGCAGAACTGGACTCCTTGCGCATCCAGCTCATGCACGGTTGTCAGCAAACTGTCACTGCCATCACCAGCGGTGCCGAGCAAGGTGTGGCAACGCTTCGTGCAGAGTTCGATGAGCGGGAAACTCAGCTTCGACGTGAGCTACGCGACGCAGAAAATGAAAACTATAGCCTGCAGCAAATGCTCGATGACCTTAAAGCCAAAATGCATGCTGGACCCGAGCTAGAGTACCATCCAACAAGTGTCATGAATACACCAGTGTCTACCCCTAGGCATGATGACACTAAGAGGAAAAATCCTCTGGAGACCATTGCAGCAGAGGCTACTGCACGTTTGAGTGGACTGTTCGCACCCAAAGCGCCGACGGCCACCATCATCGGTGATGCCCCACCAGGGGCAGCTGCTCCTATCAAGCCCGTGCTTCCAGTTTACGGAGGCACAGCAGCGGATGGGGGCAAAACACCGACAAATATGTTCCATAGCCCTGCACCTTCAATTCGCGAACCCCATAAGCCAGCGTCATCAGGAGCCATCACCTCTGAGCAGGTGATCGAATTGGTCAAGTCACTCACTCAAAGAGAGTCAGATGAGAAACCAAAGGTAAAGGAGGCAGATCACATCAAGTTGAATGACATGCCAACCCCTGAAACCTATCGGCAGTGGAAACATCATGTGAGGGACGAAATCAAGTCATTTTCTGACAAACCAGATGCCGCCTGGGACTGGTTAATGGAGGTTTACAACACTGTTGATGAGAGAAAAGTTCTGGAAGAGCGGTTGTCTAACCCTGGGAAGTTCACAACGTTGGATACCAAGTTGGCAGCTGCGCTGACCAGAAGTGCAAAGGGTGATCTAGCAAACCGAATCATCAATTACAAAGAAGAGAAGGCAAAGCTAGGCATCCAGGTTCGAGGTAGGATGATTCTTCTCATGTTCGATGACTATTTCAAGACCTCGGAAGAAGCGGGTAGTCTCTATAGGGTTGAAGATCTCCTCAATGTGGTAAAGGTAGGCGATACGGTAGCGGACTTGAAGCGTTTCATCAACCGCTGGGACGCTACCATCGCTGGTATGCCCGAACCACCGCATGAAAACGTGCTCCGAGACATCCTTTTAAGGCAGATCCGCACTAGCACAATCCTGAGGTACGACATTGATCTCTTCGATCGTGCAAAAGAAGGTGACCACCATCGGTCCTACAAGTTTCTACTGCAAAGCATCAAGGATCTGATCGATCGGGAACGCCTTCGTGAGAATCGATCACGTATCGCGGAGCGAAATCGGCTAAAGCCAGGTGATCGACACGAGAAGAACGCAGCCCCTACTGTTGATCCTCGGCGAAAGCGTTCGCCATCGCGCGGACGATCCGCTTCTCGGGAGAAGGGTATTTGTTGGGCCTTTTTGGAGGGAAAGTGTGCAAAAGGGAAAGATTGCAAGTTCAAGCATGAAAAGCCCAAGCGTGATCCTTCCAAGAAGCGCCAACCATCCCGGGAGCGGAGTGAGTCGAGGGACAAAAGCACAGACAAGGAGAAGAAGCGGATGACTAAGGAAGAGATGGCGAAGACCCCATGCAGGTACGATCAACAAGGTACATGCAGAAGAGGAGACAAGTCCTTTTTCAAACATGGAGAAAAGGCAGCGCCGGCTCCAAAAACGAAGCCAAGGAAGGACTCCCCAAAGCCAAAGGCAAAAGGAGATACCAAGAAGGCTGCCATTTGCCTGAGCAATCGGTTTGCATGTCTTGCGACTGGTGTGCCCGGACGGTCATGTCTCAAGAAGTCCTGTCTTCCTCCAGCGAGAAAGAGGTCTAAGTCGTCTGTCCGAAGAACTACATTCGTTATGAAACCTGAAATTCGCACCATCCCTGCTCGCGGGGAACATTGCAAGATGGTCAAGCGTGAGCGCAAGTACAGTGTGCATTTTGCCACGAGCGATCGCGTGCCCAAGAGCGACCCAAAGGCAGCCCACATGGCCAAAGTAAAAGCTAGGCAGTTGGCTGAAGTTGTTCGAAGCTTTGATAGCGCAACAGTGCCCTCATGTCGTTTCCTGTGCATCGAATCGTCACTTACTTGTCGTGAGTGTCGAAGCTTGATCAAGTTGAAAACATGTCCTACTACCATCCCGACAATAGTTGCTGGTCCAGCACCAAGGGAAGGCAGGTTCTCATGGCTCGTCGATTCCGGGAGTGAGCAAGACCTCCTCAGCAGAAAAGTTATGGATGCTGCTGGTGCGGAGAACCCAAGACGGGCTCCTCACACCATCAGTCTGATTACTGCAAACGGGTCGACCGAAGCCAGCGAGGTAGCTGATGTCAAGATGAAGCAGCTGCTGGAGCCTTGCACGCCGTATTTGCTGGATGAATGCCCGGCTGTGCTCTCAGTTGGCATCAAATGCCTTGACCAAGGGTATAGTTTCGTGTGGCCAGCAAACGGTACTCCGATCCTTGTGCGACCAGATGAGAAAATCGTTCAACTGCGTGTTGATGGTCATGTCCCAGTCCTCGACTCCGAGTGCAAAGTCTTTGGAAAGGGCAAGTTCAAGAAGGATAAGCCTCTGAAGAAGCTGTTTGCTATGCCGGGAGCAATCTCGAGCCCATCGGATAAGAAAGAGGATGAGGGCATTGACGAGGAAGTGCCAGACGACGAAGAGAGCCGTTTGGTGCGATCAAGAAAAGTTGGAGACTTGATGCGTGAAGCGCAGTCCGCAAAACACCAGTATCACCACTTCCCCAAGAACCCATTCTGCAAAGTGT